ATGCGCCTGACTTCCGCTGCCAGACCGAGTGTGCGCCAAGTACTTGTCCCTTTCGGCTTGCAAAGCTTCCAATTGCGCCAACTGCCAGGCGCGATCTTTGCCGTAAGCACCCCGCTGTCCGGATCCCACGGGTGTGTTGCTGCCACTGCCACTACCCTCGCCCGCTTTGCTTCCCTCACCGCCGCTCGCCATACCCATGCTCTGGTCTGCACTCGAGAAGCTGCTGCGCTCTGCACTGCTGTTGTCGCCATTGGCTGCAGCAGTAGCATTCAGCCATTGAGGATCGAACAGGCTGGGTCTGTGCGCCGACTTTTCCCAGTTCTGCCCAGCCAAGCCCATGGAAGCGCGCGGTTGTGATGAGCTTGCTTGTGCGCTTACTGAAGGCATGGTGTAGTAGTTGGATGGCCCAGCGGTGGCTGACGTTGACATGCTCGCTTCATAAGACCCACCGTTTGGGTTCGCGCTCCTGGGAGGTGCGCCCATGCCGCCGAGATTGGGAGGAAGGACAGAGGGAACCTTGAAACCTGGAGCGCCAATGGTGAATGGATCAAAAGTGTCGGCGCTGCTCAAGCTGTCGGTCAGGAAGCGGGTCTCGGATGCGTCGAAGAGGCTGTGCCCAGAATGAGCTTCCGAGATGGCGTTGCCGTCATGATTGGGGCGAGCTTGCGCCACCTGCTCTGATGCCATGCTAGAGCTGGTCGCAAAGGGGATGTTGGCAGGACCACTTGTAGCGTGTTGAGCGCGCAAAGCCAGCGTTGCCATCGCCCATTGCCCCTCGCCAGACTTGATGGACGCAGCCCCACCCCGAAGCGGCTTGACTTGTAGGGCAGTCACGAGTGCTGCTCTGGAGTGCCAGGTATGACGGTGCTAGAAGCGACGTGTCATATAATCTCGCTCGCGGCAATGAGCCAGAGCTTCGTTGCTGGGCGAGCGGAGCGCACAAAAGACGTTGTGACAAAGTCAGGGTGGGTAAGGTGCAGCGGTGATGGGCAGTGCGCGTGATTGGGCTGGTGATGGCAAGCTTGCTGGGAAGAAGGCAAGGTTGACAAGCAGGCTAGCGCGTGTCCAAATGTCCGGATATCATGCGCGGAGGTCGAGGTGGGTGCGC